AGGATGGTGGCATCCCCGGTGTCCCAGTTTCAAAGCCTCACTCCTGAGCTCCACAGAGGACACAGACTGTGCTTAAACATTGTCCTTGTCTGTACAAGTGTAATGGGGAAGCTCCTGAGTTAAACCTTCATGCTGTACAGGTATTGTTTTGAGTTCCCTCTATAAGGAAAAACTTACTTCTGATACCAGGAACCCACAGAATTTTAACAACCTGAGAGACAAGATCAATGCCAAAGGGCTACACCAGCCCTGTGTGGCCCTGAGTTGAAAGTGTATGAGAACAGAACATAAGTAATTAGGCAATGACACATACTCATATGAAGATTCTTCTACAAGTATTACTTCTCTCTTATTTAAATCTCATGTAGGTTTTTTCATATCAGACAAACCTCTTCCTCTGTACTGGACCCAAGACATTTCATGTTATTATCTGTAGCATAGCAGAGGGGTGAATGCCCTCCCATGAGCTTCTCCTCTCAGGGGCATCACCTCCCATGACAACTGCAGGTGTCCATGTGTTAGGGAGTGTGCCACAGATGCATCCTTCACTCTCAGTCACCACCTGTGAGACTGATGCCATAGGCCTGGTGATGTGCTGGGCCACAGTGGGACAGAGACACATGTATCTTAAGGGAGCTGGTCTAAGAGTGGAAGTAGAGAGCACTTGGTGGAACGGAATTATGCTTTAATTCTGGCTTTTGGATGCCTTTAATTCTGGATGCCTGCCATTGCAACCTGTTCATAGGTTGTTTGCTCATGCATTACAGTCCCTTGACTCCCCCATTTAAGGCTGTGCAGCAGTACAAATGAGATGCTCTCATTTTTGCATGCCCCCAGTGTTCTCGGGTCTGGCAGGGTATGGTCATCCTGACCTGTGAAGGCCAGAGGTATAAATGTCACATTGTCACTGGAAACTTAGTGATCCCCATAATAATTCAGCAAGTGGGTAATAAAATTATAAAATCTTTAAGACAGGCTGTGCACTTAGTGTATTTCATGGTATATTAATACAACTAATTTCATACTAATTATACTAATTGATGTTTGCTTATTATTATTGTTATTATTAATTATTAATAGTTAACAATTATATACTGTTATATTGCTATAACTGGCATGGTAAAATATTAATAGCAGAATGGGTAAAAATGTGCTGAAGAGAAAAAAATTAATGAATTTCCAGCAAAAAGCTGTTTTCATTGTTTTCAGTGAAAACGGAGGAAGTTCATGTTTCTTTCATATCTGTTTTGTCTTTCCTTTTGTTCCTTTTCTCCCAACATTGCAAAAACAATTCTGAATTTTGAAACCAGTTCTCTGTTAAACACACTAGTCCCAGTTCAACAGCCTAATAACAAGAGCCTCAGCCTCATGGCGCTGACTAGTTTAAATTGGGAGCAAAGTTTTAACAACTTTGCTACACAACAAGCTGCTACTGAAGTTGAATTTAAAGGTCTGTTTCACTGAGAGACACAAACTTAACAAAACTACAAGAGGAGGTTTAACTACTTCAAAAACAACTCAGTTTTTATGTGTTTTGGAAGCAAATAACATTTTTGCCATTCTCTGCAATACCTATCAGAAAAAGAAATAACTTTTTCTGCTGAAGAGGGCTGGAGCACAGGAGCACAGAGAGGCTGAGCGAATTGTGTTTGTCTAGCTTGGGGAAGGGAAGGCTGAAGGAGTTCTACAGCCACCTGCAACTACTTAACAGGGACCACCAGTCCAGTCAGTCAGGCTCTTCTCACTGACACAATGAAAGAAAGGATAAATGGCCAGGGGCACAAGCTCCAACAACGGAAAGCTTGATTGGCCGTAAGGAAAAAAGTCTTCCTCATGGGAGCAGTGCAGCCCTGGGAAAGGCCCAGAAAGGCTGAGAATCCTCTAGCCTGGGACATACTCAGATCTTGACTAGATGTGGCCCTGAGCAACCTGGTCTAGCTTTGGGGTTAGCCCTCATCAATGGTCCCTCCATCTTTGCTCAGTTTTTCCACCTGCCTCACCAAAAGATCCTCTGTCCTGATATGTCAGCGGGTCTTCTTAGCAAGTGATCTCATAAGCAGCTCTCTTACAAATAAATTTATCCTTTCATTAACCCTCAATCTTAAGAAGATGCTCAACCCCAGTTTCCTCCAGCACTGGGCTAGAAGCCTTTCAGTCCACATCATACCCTCAGCAAGAGGTCGGATGGGCACTGTCACCATGTTCCTCCCCTGGGAATTCCACACTCAAAAGCTCTCAGGTTGAAAGTGTGGGACCCCCAAGCTACACTGCTGACTGCTCCAGAAGCAACTGCTTCTGCCCTGATTTCCTATAGCCATCTAGGGTTCTTGCATATTTTGCACATCTCCCATCTATGTAATGCTATGTGCCTTTCTCTGTGCCTCCTTCCCTGAAAACATCATCCCAGATTTCTCTGAATCACCACAGTCCTCTTGGCAGAGCTGAGTCAGCAGAGCTCTGTACCATAATTACACTGGCCACTCCAGTCCCATTAGCAAAGCTAATGATGACTCACATCAGTCTCCAGCATATCCATATCCAACAGGAATGGAGGTAGGAGGTTATTCTAGAGTCCTAAATCTAGTTTACTAGTAAGGTTGGACAGAAGTAGACTTGAATTAAATCCTGGGGAGGGGAAGTGTGGATGTGGGGCAGGGCCCATGCTGATAAGAGCTGGTGCAATCCATTTTTCTGTGTCTCTGTCCATGTCATTAAGCAGGCATTATCTTAAGACTGTTCTACATGTCCTAACCCCAATACCAGACTGATGAGACGCTTTGCCAAGGGAGTGGCTCGGGCATGGCATCATGCTCTGTTGTCCCTGGTTCCTGGAAATGCTACATCTCTACACTTTGGGGTGCCTTACAGCACTCCTATGTCTCCAAGTCAGAGAGACAACAAACAGAGAAAGCAGGCAAGGCAGTATAAGTGCCTCCTAAAGTGCTGGCAGAATTGTGTAGAAGCATTCTGAAGGCAATATTCTCAGTGACCCAAACACAGGTCTGAAAGACATTTTGGGTGATTAGTTGCATAGGAAAAGGTTGGTTCTTTGATGCAGAGCACTCATGCAAGTTGTTCATGTGCTGTTCAAACTACATCATATTTTGATTCAGTGTTCATATAAGAAGTATCTTGCTGAGCAAATAGTCTCTGTGGGATTACATAGTACTTCTTAGTCACCTGTGCATGTAAGCACAACTGGCCCTGGGCTGGGAGGGAAGTGTCTGTACCAGCACCCACTATGTCTGTGGAGGCACTGTGAACCCAAAGAGACCTTTAGGATGCTCCATTCCCTCTCAAATCCCTCCTCCTTCCTCTGTTTTCTGAACTTCGAGCATCTTTGCTCAATAAACCCTTTTTGCATCTTTCTGCACTCAGGGTTCAGATCAGCTGACCCACCGCAGGGCTCATATGTGGGCAGCTCTAAGCCATGGGATGTTCCCAGTGACCAGCCAGAGCCCTCCAGAGTGAGGACAGGAGTCCCTGCGAGGACGCACACCCTATAGCAGCCATGGACACAAACAAACACGAAGGTAAAGCACCCTCTTATTTCACTTACTGATAGTATGAAAGACAGTGAGGAAGAAATGTGCTCTCATACGACCTGTCTGCTGGCCCCCATCCAGCCCCCTGAGAGCACCTCTTAACCATGGCAGCTGTGTGCAAATGTTCAGTACTTTTAGTTTCATAGAAGTACATGGGGGGTTAAGTTGTTATCTCTTATTTTAGAACCACCTCCCTCTGGAAAATAATCCTGTGGCATGTGTAATGTCCAATGTGGGAAGTCATTCCTTTTCTTGCCTCAGATCCCAACTCTGCCTTAGGATGTACAAAGCTGTGTCATACATGAGGGCACTGTGATGAGGATCTGCTTCTCTTCCCCACATGCTTTGTAGCAAGGTGTTCTTGTTTGTGTTAGTGCCATAACCCAGACATCTGCACCAGTCCCAATCTGCAAGCACCAAGATGTGTCCAGGCCACATTGCTTTCATGCAACCAGTCCTTGCTACAGTCAGCAGCACTTCTAGAAAGTCTGCAAAGCTCAGGGGTTTCAAATCCAGGGTTTTAGTGGTTATCAACTTCTTTCAGAAGAATGTGGGGCTGGTGGTATTTGCTTTCCACCCCAAACCCTTTGCACTGTGCTCTGCCTTGCCACCTCAGAGGTACTGTATCCATATGCTGAGGAACCCTTGAAACTATGAGCAGTGGGAGCAGCTTTAGGAGTGCCCACAAGTGTCAGCTCAGGAGAGAGACTAGACTATCTCTTTCCCTCTTCAAAGATGCTTGGTGGTGCCAATATTCATGGCATGGATAATGGAAAAGTTAATTTCTCTATTATTATTGTTCTAATTGAATTAAATTAGGTCTGTGTACCTAGGCCCCTACACTACAGCAGGCTGAAAAGGAAATTAACTCAGGGATTTTTTCCAATTAATTGGTATGCCCTCACGGGCGGCAGATGTTTACTGCAGAAACTGGGAGATAACCCCAAAGCCCCTTGCTTCCCACAGTGCAACTGTGAGGAGCCTCCTCTGCTCCAGCTCTTAGCTGTGACTTTATAGAAATGATCTGGGGTTTGACTGGGTACATGCAGAGAGTGCTCATGGCAAAGGTGGGAGGTAAAGTCACAGCAGGAGTGACCTTTTCCCCATTTCTGGTCTTGCTCAGGAGGAGTTCCTTGCTTTGAGTATATCCAAGAACATTACAGACTCATCCCTAACCAAACCCAAATGAAAGATCCCTATAGACTTTGGCAGGAGTCTGGCCCTCTGTGTTATATATCAGATTGAAAGATGCCCAAAGAAAACGTGAGGAGAGACCAAGGCTCTTCCTTGCTGTGTTATGCTTCTACCTGCTACCTCTAGCCCTTCACAAAGCTCAGCATTCAATACACCCACCATTCTGTAAAAGCAGCATCTCCCTGTCCTCCCAGCATCTGGTTTGTATTGTACTATTAATTCAGAGACATGTCCTCTTGCTCTTTTTGGGTCAGTCCTTACCATTCCACAGTAAGAGTCCAGCAGTAACATATACATCAGAACAGGCATGGGCCTCAGTTTTCATGACTGAGGAGGATCACTGTACACACCGCTGCCTTCTTGAGCCTCAGCTCCAGGCATCATGAGAAAGCTTCAGGCCAAAAGTCGGTTTCTAGTTCACAGGGTTGCAGAGAAAATCTGTAAAAAAAGACCCAGAAGGGACAAAGCTGAAAATGAAAACAACCTGTCATTTAAAACTTGAAATGTGGGACTTGGTGCAGGCTGGCTGATGAGTTCTGACCCCAAACAGTTGGCAGTTTGGAGTCATAGTTACTTCTGCCAGTCAACCTCCTGCCCCTTGTTTTCCCCAGGAGGAAACATGGGAGGATATTCCCCAGAGGGTCAGTGTCTGACCCAGCTACCCAACCCCACAGCCAAGAGAGCCCCTTGCACAGGCAGGAAGTGGCACATGGACAGAGAGGAGCACACGGCCTCTCTTCCTCTCCCTTCTGCAAGTCACTGGGGAATTTGCTCAAGTTCCTCTGAATCAGGACAAATTCTAGAGACCAGAACAGGGCCAATTCATAGGTGCCCTTGGTGGTAACCCATATTCCACTTCAGGGGTAAAGAAATCAGAATGTAGCTATGCCTTGTATAGCTCTGACTTCCAGGCTCCAGCTTTCCTCTGGCTGACTGTGTAGAGTCCTCCCTGCACACTTTTCCAGCCTCTGCAGGACTGAATTTCTGTGGTCTTAAAGGCCCAGTTGGGTAAGACACCAAGTACCTGCAGCCAGCACGGAAAGAGGGAGCTTGGCTTCCCCTAGAATGGGCATGGGGTTGATGGTCATGTCTGTGACTGACAGCTGAGACAGGTGAAGCAAATTCTTGGAAGCAAGAGAAAACCCACCTCATGAAGTGGCATTGCCAAGGAGAGGCGATCTAGACCAGGAACTAAGTAGCATGGTATTTTCTGGGAGTGAGGGCCAGCCCGGGACCCTGATGTAGGGAATAACATGGGAACTCATGGCTGTTGGACTACAATTCCCTCAAAGGGCAGTGGCAGCACAACCAGCAGTAATTTCTGCTGGACAGCCAAAGGTTTCTGCACAGAAGAGACAATATTAGACAATAAACAGACATTTTGGTTTCAATCAAGATAGTTGGACTGGATGACCTTTAAAAGGACCCTTTCAACTCAAATGATTCTATGATTCTATGTTTAATGCCTAATGTCTCTGCAGTCTCCAAAATACTTCAGCAAAACAGATATAATCTCCTCCATGAGCTAGATCTGTTTCAGAAATGTTAAGTCTATGTCCATTGTACAAGATCAGGTGAGATCACAATGCCACAAAACCCCAGGAATGATGAAACTGATGAAAAGGTGTATTTTTTTGGTGTTAGAAGAGACATGATTACTGCTTGGAATGCATTGTGACAAAATATAACTTAGGGCTTAAAAGATACAGATCAGGTCAGCCTTTTGTGGAGATAATAGAAATATGTACAAATATAGTAGAGGATAAAATTTACTATTTCAGAAGAGAAACGTATCAGTAATGCTTTAGGACAAAAAACCTGTTACTTAAGGCTGGTACACAGAACTAAACTTCACAGGGAGCATTTTAGTCCTAATTGCACATACAGGCTTTCTCGCTTCTTTGCATGGATCCGCTTTGGCCAGACAGGACAGCAAATAAGGTGAATTTAATGTCTGATTTAGGTGAGTTATTCCTGGTTTATAATTGCAGTTTATTTTACAAACGATATGGTGTTCAGATCTCCTAAAGTGAGACTTGAGTCCTTTAAAACTGATTTGTTCCTCAAGAGGGACTTCAAACCCTCTGTTCCAGTTATTTATAGCAACCATTATAAGTCATTTTAATTGACTAAAGTTCTTTATTCCCACAGGAGGGACTGAAAGTGTGCCTGTGACTACCCCTGCAACACAGATTTCCCAGGTAAAGATGAGCAAAATGCCCTAAATAACTCCATGAGTTTAAAGAGTTACTAATATATAAACAGTAGTTAAAAAGCTAAATTAAGTGGAAGGAAAAAATATAGGCACTTATGAGGAACATGGCAACTCAAATGTGCACACTGCATGAGTAAATATACATATCACATCTTGGGCCACATCTTGAAAGACCCTTCAGTAAAATTTCTCTGCTCACAACCAGTTGTGTTTAGACAGGTGATTTATGAGCTCAGATAATTAACCAGCTGGCATCATTAGCACCAATTAGAGAATGTCAATTCACTGGGCTGGAGGGAGATTTCATGGCTGAGCTTTGAGCTTTCAGCAAACCTGATGAACTGTCCTAGGAACAAGGATCTGTTGATTGACATGGGGCAGGGGTGTCTTCTGCAGAAGGGGCCCAAGTCTTCTATGGGGCTTTGGGTTATCCTGGCAGCCTCACAGCATCTCAGACCATGGGGTGCTCTTGCCTGATAATCCAGATCAGCCAGAGTGTTGAGTCTTTCTGCATGTCTTTGCCTGGTTTCCCAGCCAGGAGCTTGGAAACCCTGTCTTGGAGTCAACATTGGCTCAGGATGATCAGGTCCTCCAGAGCTCTGTGGCCGCTCTTTGTGTTGACATTCTTGCTGCAATGAGACACCACAGATGCAACAAGGTTGTCGGCACCACAGCCCAGGGAGTGTCCTTCCTGTAAGACACAGTTTCAGTGTTTCCACATGAAATGTTTCCTACGCATTTCCAGTCTGCAGGAAATGCAACAGAGTTTTAAGCACTTTAAATCCCTGGTCTGGTTCAATATGAAACTGAAATATGAAAGAGGAAACACACCCCTGAACTGGAAATTCAGGCTATTTGAGACCTCCCTTGTCACCACTGCAACACTAATGCCTGTAACCGCTTGTAAGTGCACTGTGACAAGTGGACAAGAAACTGCTTTCCATGAACCAGTACTTATCTCATCCTCTTTTCCCATCCAGGCAGCTCCAAGCAGGAGCTGTGACTGGGTTGCTGAAGGGCCCAGCACAGTGGATCCAATGCATGTGGAAGAGTGTGCTGGAAACATCACGCACACATGTTGGTTTCCAGCTGACATGTGGGTACCCTGATGAATCCTGAAATGAAAGTTACCAGCTAATTCTTCCCTTCTGCTTCAGCAAAGGCCCTATGGACAATGGGCAGATGTGGAACAAGAGCTGATAAGTGCTTGCAGCCCCCTTTAAGCACCTTCATCGTTCTCTTCTGTCCTTACCTTGCTGCTCTGCCTATATTCCTACCATCCTTGCCTAGGAATATAAATACCGGATATACTCCTAGGGCTGGTTCTTTACCACTGTAAATCACTGCAGCTCTGCTGCTTTCCTGCTATGAGGCATTGCAAGCCTTCCTGGTGCTTGGCTGTAGAAGTGCTGCCCTTAAACACAGGAGTTAGTAGCTGTTCTAGAAATTGGTTGTTCCCTGGTAAAAGAATGCATCATATAACTCAGAAAAATCAGATCCAGGGTTTGTGGGAAACGTTGGATTTTGTGCCAGATTGGTTTCAAGCAGTGTCCTCAGGCAGCCCTCTTTTGAGTGACACAATGTGTATTGACTCCTTCAGATCAGCCCCAGCAGATGTGCGAAGGGATGGGCAGTAGATAAGCTGGGGGAAGTAACAGAGAGTACTCCTTCATGACCACAGAAGGCTTTGCTCTTTTCAAGGATATATTTATAACAGCAGAATTATCCCTGTACAGTATTTCTTTATCACAAGTCTGTTTCTACTGGTTTTGACAGGCTTCAGCTCAAGGTCCCTGACAGCAGGCCCTTTTTCTAGTGTAAGGACCTTAGGCAGCTGCCAAGGTTGGCAGATGCAAACAGCCACCCCTTTGGGGACAGAGTCCTGGACAGCCTGGTTAGTGCTGGGGGAGATCTGTGGGGACACAGCTACTCATAGAAGCAAGGGTTCCCTCTCATCCTCTCAGTGGCAGCCAGGGCAGTGAACCCAGCTCACCAAGGCTCTGCTGCCTTCTTTCCATCCCAGTCCTTCCTTCCATAAGCCATCCCCATCTCCTGGCCACAACCATCTTCCCTGGGCTGAACACAGTTTTAGGCTGCAAGGATGGTCACGACCTTTTGCAAATGTCTCAAATTGCTGGCACTCACCAAGAGAGAAAGGGGGAGGCTCTGCATCTTTGCTGCCTTTGGTCCTGGAAGCAGCATCAGTCCTGTCCACCCTTTGTGCACAGTACAGCACGTGAGACAAAGGCAGAGGCTCAGCAAAGGAGATTTCACAGCCATTTTATGGATATAAATTTTATAATGTCTCACTGCATTGCTTTGTGAGGTTTGAGGGCTGCACTCCAAAGGCAGATGGGAGCTGAAATGTGTATCTGATACTAAATTATCTAGATGCCTAAATGCTTTTTTTGAACAGTTCTTGGATGGTTTCTAAGGAATCCCTATGCAGATTCATTAATCCTCTAGGCATCAGTTAGTTCAACATAAGTTGTTAAGGTGTGTTCCATAAATTCCACAACTTAAGTGTTAAGGTGGGTATTTATTGCCATGAATAGGTGAGCCAGGGCAACACAGAACAGTTAAACTGTTGCTGTATTAAAAAAATATGTCTTTTTTGCTATGTGTTGCACTTAGAAACTTTAGAAACACAGAATTGTCTTGACTTTCCAGAGGGTCACAAACCTGTGAAATATCTCCCTGGTCCTGCAGGCATAATCGCTTGGGCAAGACATAAGCATGAGCTGATACTTCAGTGGCTTCCATCTGTTGTAACAGCTTATGGGATTTAAAGGATGGCTTTCTACAGCTTGTTTTCAGAAATGAACTCAAACTAAAATCCACAGCTACACTGCGCTTGGCAAGAGTTCAAAGATAACATGCTGTTCATATACCATTCCACTTCATTTTGGATCAACCCTGCATCCAATGCCACAAGACTGTTTGTGATTCCTTTCTGTGCTCTGAGCAGGGAGTTCTCAGGGTTTCAGCACTTCATGTTCAGTCATACAAGGCCTGTGGCTGATTGGTGTTGTTGGCTGCATTCATTCATCAAGTGGCAACAAAAAGAATGCATTTCAGTGTCTGAAATAGCCACTGCAGGCTGCATAGGGCTGAGAAAGGATATATCGGGCAGGACAGACCCAGGCTGGGGTCTGGAGCACTGAGAAGGACACACAGAGAAACTAAGCTAGCACTGTGACTGCAAAAGCAGAGACTGGACAACAGTGAATCCCAAACTAACAGCTGTCTTAGGAGCAGAGGATATTTTGTCCAGCCTCTAGTCCAAATCTTTCATCCTGTTGGCTGAACTCTGCTTTCATAGAGTGTTTCAGTGCACATGGACACCAAAGTCTCTGCAGTGGTCCAATTTTGCTGACTTTTGCTGATGCCTTGCAGTTTTTTACTGTGAAACCTCTAGATCAGCAGTGAATGCCATCACCATACCCTTCACAAAGGATCTGTCTAGTTTACCCCCTTTCTGGAAGCATCTGAGGAGGAGATGGCAAGGCTTGTTGGCAGAAACATTTAATTTTGGGCTTATTCTCCCCAGACATTGTTATCTCCAGGGCCAGCTCCAGGACTGGTCCACTGCTAGCAAGACTTGAGGCTGTGACATCTCCATCGTAGCATAGGATAGAACAGAATAGCATATTTCAGTTGGAAGGGACAGATCTGACGAATCAGCCCTTCTCACTTGGAGGACAGCATGTGACGCCCAGCCCTAATGCAGGCGAGGCAGACAGACTGTGCCTTGGCCATGTCAGCTTAGGGTGGAAGTGTATCGAGCAGCTGTGAGCAGGGGATGGGAATATTAACATTTTGCACAGCTGCAGCACTTTATAACCATCCCCCTCCCTGCTTTTCCAGGCATGTATGTTAGGATGTCTGACGATGCCATGACCATCTGGACTGAGACATTAGAAGCGGTACGGTCACTGCCTGCCCTAGCAGCCATGGCCCCAAGCAGGGGGGCTTCAGGCTACACTCAGAGGTCATAGGGTATCACTGTGGCCAGGAGGGGTGGGGGAAGGGGTTGAACCAAGTGGTCTGGAGCTCCAGCTGGCTTGGGGAGTCAGGGTTGTCAGCCCGAGGAGGGAAGATTTCCTCAGCCTCCTGGTCCCCTCTGCCCTGTTCCGGTTCCTCTCAGTCCTGCTACTTCTACCC